AACAGACATATTAACAATTAATTTGCCAGACTTGCATAAAGATGAAATAGTAGCACATTATATAAAGAGAACTGGTTACCCATCAAAACTCCCAGGGAGATTTTAGACATTATAGGCTGCACTTCCTGTCTAATGCAATCAGAATTCCACAGGTAGAAACCACAAATATATAAGGAATATCGTTATAACATGCACTCCAGGATGCATTTCTAAATTTTTTTAATGGGCATAATACAGAATAAAATGAAACAAAACAAAACAGGGAAAATCCTGATAAGAAGATTTCAGAAATAAGACAGTAGGGAATCTCCCATAGTTACCGTATTGCATATTGTTATCCTCTAAATAGCTGCTCAGACTACCAGCTTTGGGCTTGCAATGTGGGAGAGGCGAGTGCCTTTATGGTTCTCCTCTTTGGCTGGCTGGAGGCAGGGGGCACTGTGGCTTTCCTCATTTCTAAATTTTCATACAGCCACTATATTTGAAAATCTGTATTTTTTCTTGGTACCAGGGATCGAACTCACAAATTCACACTTGCCAGTGAGGTACTTTGGCACTGAGCTAAATCCCTATTGAAAATAAAGAAACCAATAATAGACATTACATAACCAAATTTCAGCAATTCTTATGGCACACAGGGGTTATGGAAAAAATGCTTGTTAACTCAACAAGTAATGAAAAAAAAAATAGCACTATTTTTAACCTAACACCTTTTTGAAAAAGTAGTGCTGGAGATTGAATAAAGGCCTCACACACACTAGGTAACTGCTTTACTACTGAGCAACATTCCTGGCCCACTGTGTGTGTGTGTGTGTACATGCACACACGTGTTAGACATTGAGCCCAGAGACTCATACATGCTAAGCATACAGTTACCCATTGAGCTACATTCCTAGTTGTCCAATATCATTTTGAAACAATAAAATTTAAAATACTGGAGCTCTGATATGACATTATTCTCAAAAACAAGATTTCTGAAGACACCATCTTCATATGTATCTATGCAATACTGTTATAGGAATATGAAAAAGATCCTTCCCTAAAATACTGTATTTACAATGTGGCATCATGGCACATGGATGAGTAAGTTCGTAAGGAACTTCAGAACATGAACCAAATGGCCTCTAAGAGCCTTTCTAACTCCTCTACATTTTCATCATCTTAAAAGAATGGACTGGATTTAGATGGAATAACTGTGGAAAAGGACATTCTATGGGAGCTCATCATATTTATAATATTGATTTCTAGTAGAAAATAAAGTAAAACAAAGGTAAGAAAAACCTATGAAAGGATTTAACAAAACAACTAGCAGAAAAAGAATGATGGAATGAACAATGATTACCTATTCAAAATTCCAAAGATTAAGAGAATTTAAACATAGCATCTCTTGCCAAAAGAGAATATAAGTTTGAAAGATGTGTGCAAACAAAATGGTTGCACAGTTTTCCAGGAAGCTGCTTGGGGAACTGCTGCTTCCACTCTTCTAGCATGTTGCAGGGTACCGAGTGTCAAGCCGTGGGTTAGTGATGGAACCCAGCCTAAGGAAGAATTCAAAATCATCCCTTTGTACACTGATAAAGTTTGATCTATCAGATGTGACCACCAAGCAGGTTATCAGTCTGGCCAGAGTCAAGGTCAACATTTTAAACATGGACATTGTTACAGTCTGGGTCCAGATGTCTCCCCAAAGCCTCTCATGTGGTCATAGATGGGCTTCAGAGATGGCCGAAGATAGTGTGTGATGCTGGGATTAAAGCTGTGTGGTTACTAAACCAGTACACTGACTGGCGGGGCACCACTCTAATCCTGGTGCCCAGATACAATGTGAGGGACAGAAAAGGCTTGTCTTCCCCTTGTTGCTTTGCTGCCTTTGCCTGCAATGAACTATTTTTTCTCTGCAATGCTTGTCTCCCATGCCACCCTGCTTTGGAGCCAGCTAAGTATATATAGACTGAAAAAAAAAACAAAACTATATATAGACTGAAATCTCTACAAACTGTGAACCAAATAAACCTTTCTTCTATTTTGGGCATTGGGTATTCTGTCTCAGCCAGGAGAAAAGTAACTAACACAGACATGTTAAGGTCCTTCTCCAGAAATTAGATCACAAGATCAATTATTGAAATCTTTGAGAGACAGGAAACTGAAAGAAGTAAACATACAAAGTGTGATTGAAAAATATGACATATTTAAATTTTCACAAATTTAAACTTTTAAAATTCATTGTAGTAAAAGACACTTTGCCATTAATCTCCCTCAAAATACTCCCCCTTGCTTCAAATATGTTTATCACACTGTTCTTATCACTTTCTGAAGCAGTTCTGGAAAATCACTTTCTTTTTCTTCTCTTTTTGTCTTTTTCATTTTTATCGGTACCAGGGATTGAACTCACGACTGCACACTTGCAAGGAAGGCACTTATGCCGCTGAGCTAAATCCCCAGTCCTGAAGATCACTTTCTTAACTGCCTTTAGTTGCACTGTCATGGCTGACTTGATGACCTGAACCAACTCAAAACATTTATCTTTCATGATCCTTTTAACTTGGGGGAGGGCTAAAAGCCATACACTGCCAGATCAAGTGAGTAAAATAAGTGAGGACACACTGTAATATTTTTACAAGGCTCCCTTTCCACTAGACGGAAGTTAGCAGCAGCATCTGATGTATTTTTTATCATATCTTATAAAGCCACTCACAAAAGAGGGCTTCCAGGACTACTTCAGAGAGTGGCAAGAATGGTAGGGTAAGTTTTTGAGGCAAGGCGAAGTATTTGCGTGAGGGGTAGGGATGGCATTGTGTCTTTACTATAAAAAATTTAAACATTCAGGCTGGGCATATAGCTCAATGGCACAAGTACCCGCCTTGCAAACACAAGGTCCTGAGTTTGATTACTAGTACCAAAAAAATTAAATTAAATTAAACTTAATTTAATTTAAATTTAAACATTAAATGCATTTTTATCACTTTTTGTATATAATGAACAGTGTAGTTACAAATCAGTGCAAAAGGGGTACTACTAGCTATCTCTCCAGCACATTTTTTATGCAATAATGGAAACAATTGCAAAGTGTATTCAATTTAAAGAAATGAATGGGAGCCAGGTATGATAGCGCATGCCTATAAAGACAAAAAAAAGGAAAGGAGCAAATAAAATTATTTTTATTAAAGGTATCAAAATTTATTTTGTTTTTGTTGTTGTTTTCTTTGAGACAGGGTCTTGCTATGTAGTTCATGCTGGCCTTCAGCTCCCTTTGTAACCTAGGCTGGTCTCAAACTTGCAACAATCCTGCCTTAGCCTCCCAAGTGCTGGGATTATAGGTGTGTACCACCACACCCCACTCTGTATCAAAATTTAAAATGAACTACTTGTCATACTGTAAAAAGGGTTGCTGCACTCGTATTTTAGGTACTCTGTCCACCCTCTTTATTTATTTATAATTTTTTAAGGTACAAAAGTAAAGAAGGCAAAAGGTAGCTAGAGAAATTGAGGAGTTTAGATAGAATGGCTTTGTAGTCATTAAGAAGCGATTAATAGGAACTATATTACAATATATATATGTATGGAAAATCTGAAGAAAGTGGACATGATGAGTGATACAAACTGTTCTCAGTCTGTATTAAATACAACAGGGAGAAGTATTAACTAGATCAACATGAGAGGTTAATCTAATAAAATTTTTTAAATATTGAAAATAAAACTAAAGAAATATTCAAGTACTACAAGTCACACAGTGAGACATGAGGGGAAAAAAGCAAAAAAATGAACTTTCTTATTCTCCAGAGCCATTATTTAGAAGCTATCACTAGAAAAAGCATACTGAACAAGGACACTGGCGTCCACAATCACAGCGGGAAAAAGCAAGAAACACAGTGTGGTTTAGTGTGAGACAGGCCCTTGCACAAGGACACAACTGGATATAAAACACAGTACTATCACACTACTCCTTCCTCGCCGTGTAACCTTAGCAAGTTAATGAAATGGCTCTGGGCCTCTGTCTCATCTGTAAATAAAAGTAACAACACCATTTGCAAGACTATTGCATTAGGTAATACATGTAAAGCACCTAACACAGCACTATGTAGGTACTGCAGGTACTATTAGAATCATTAATATTGCTAGTCTTACAATTACTGTGTACCAGTGGAACAACAAAGATTTATTAGGCATCTGTTAAAAACCAGGGTGGTACTCTTCCCCTCATTCTATCCCTGGCACTGGGAATGTACCTAAGGATTTCACAATGACCTACACCCCCATTCCCTTTCTAACCTTTTATTTTCAGAAAGGGTATTGCTAAGTCACTAGGTTGCATGGGCTGAGCTTGAATCTTAGATCCTCTTGCTTCTGCCTCCAGCATGGTGGGCTACAAAAGTATGCCGTCATGCCCAGCTAGATATTTCTTTTAAAAGAGAATGACGAGAAAACCTAGGAAACATCCTATAACCATTATAAAGCATTTTAATGACAATTTCTTTCAAAATGGTTTTTTTAAAGGTCTTTTCTTCTTGTGAGCTTGAACCTTTGAAAATACAAATAGCATTTATAACATATACAGCAAATGCAAATAATACCAGCAACATAATAGTTTTTAGACTAAAAGATTTAGCATATATGCCAAAAAAATTGTCATTAGGGCCACTAATGAGACAAGGGTAAGTCTAGGTTACAAATGGTCATAAACTGATCTATAATCCAAGAGACATCAAAAATGCACAGCATAATCCCTGGCCTAAGAGCAAGGTACTGACATATTTTCTGCAAAATATTCTTTGCATACATGAATTCCTATGACCCAGGGTGAAAGGCAGACAAAAAGACAAGATGTAAAGGACACACAGCTTCAGAGGGTCAAGGCAAACAGTAAAGAACTCAAAACCCAAAACATAAGAAGGATGCACCCAGAGGGTTTAAAAGGATGAACTGAAAAAGAAAGTTCTTATATAATAATATAAACTAAATATATAAATATTGAATTAAGAATTAAGATTATTTCCATTTACCTGATTGCTTAGAATTTCTTTCTTTCCACTGAACGTTTTTGCATTTGATCTGGTTTTGTCTCTCTTTTCGGAGTCGTTCTAATCTTTGAGCTTAAAAAGAAATATTATAACTATAAGTTTGTCAATGAAAGTTTACTATAAACAGACATAATTAACTACCTTTATATGAATAAAGATGTTTTATATTGCATATGTAGGGGAAAAGTCATAAAATTTTAAAGGTGGCACCCCTGAAAAGAAATACCAACAAAAACATGAAAATATTCTTGATTTATAATTGAAATTAGAGGATATAAAACATTAATAGAGATCATAAAGATAGTATTAACATGGAAGAGAATAATAAAATGTGAAAACTTCTGTGATTAATATGACATTTCATTATATAAATCATTAATAACGGTCTTAAAGGAATTTTAATGCACAAATGAACTGAAGTGAATATTACATTACAGGAATAAAATTACTGTTATGAATTACTCTACCCGTTTCAAAAATTAAAGATAAATGAACTCAGACTAGACTATTAAAGTTTTAAATATAAAATCCTTTATCTAAAAATCATGAAAATTATAAAATGTCAAAGCTATATAAATTAGCATAGCTTTTCTTCAGTGGGCTGAAACAGTTTATAGGTAATAAAATAAATGATTTGTATCTTTGTAACATTAGTCAAATCTTAAAAAGAACAATTTTTCTTTTAAAAAATTTTAAGATATGCTGAAAGGATTAAAGTAAATTCCTTAGTCACTAGGACAACCAACAATCTCAATTAATTATTAGCATCTAAGTGCTACCTAAAGAAATTTCAACACCACCATGAGTTCCTAAAATTAGGCATTTGTGATCATCTTGCTACTGGCTGATCCACCTTCAAAAACGGATAAACTGATCCTTTAAAGAAATACCAGCTAGGGGCTGGGGATTTAGCTCAGCAGCATAAGTGCCTGCCTTGCAAGCGTGTGGTCACAAGTTTGATCCCCGGTACCAACAAAAAGAAAAAAATAAATACCAGCTGGCATCCTTTAACAAGGGCTGCGTTACAGAGATCACAATGGAAAGGAAAGTCACAACTGATTCCATCTTTATTTTTTTTTTATTCCATCTCTTGAAACTGTTTTCTCTTGCTAATCTTCAATATCCTATCCTGGTACATTATTAATAAAAAATAAATAAATTTATTTTTCAACTACTTTGAAAGTGGGAAAACATACACTCCTGCCTTGTCACTGTGGTAGGGGAACACTGAAAACAATCTTGCCAAAAATTTAAATTGTGCTCCCGAAAGCATTCCAACAATGTCACTATAGTCTAACCAAATTCCACTGAAGAAAAATACATTCAATTGCAATTAATAAATGTGAAGGATACAGCCAAAGTAATATAATCATAAAGCTCTCAATTTAGCAGCATTCACCTAGTGAAATCCATTTGAACTGTCACATAAGATATCATCTCAATAACCTACAAGGAAGTCAGTTTCGACTAAAGAACTGAGAATCAATGGCTCTAAATTATATTCAAACCTTCACTCAAACCCTATTTTGATAAAGTTCCTTTAGATATGGGAAATGCTATTAATTATTTCCATTGTGAGAGCAAATTATTCTTTATGATGTCATGGATGGTGAATTCTGAACCAAAACCTTAATGTGGGTTTCACTGTACATTGTATTCAGCTCCACCTGCAATAACCCTTTATGTACACTTTATATTTGGACCACAAAATACATACATATTTTCAATGTTGTACTACATATCCTACCATGACCTTTCAGAGTTAGCCAGTTATTACTGGTGATTTGGAGACTGTTATTTATTGATCTAAAGAATAAAAATTATCTCCTAGAACACCCTGTCCTAACAGAACTACAATATACTATATCCAAGTGAAGCCTAGGTTCATCACATTCCCCTTGAAAGACTATCAAAATGTGTAAGCTGCAAAATAGGCAATGAATAAATTTTTTAAAGCTAGTAATGATATATATCAATGTTGAGCATTTTTAAACAAAGATCAAGAGGCAGTGACCAACTTAATAAAGGTAGTATCAAAAACAGGGGCAAGGGCTGGGGATTTAGCTCAGCAGTATAAACGCCTGCCTTGTAAGCAGGCAGTCATGAGTTCGATCCCCGGTACCGATAAAAAGGAAAAAGACAAAAAAAAAAAAAAAAAACCAGGGGCACCTTTTCTAATTTCATACCCATGTAGAAATTTCTATTAAAAACCAGCCCTCATGGGTTTGGGATATAGCTCAGCGGTACAGTGCCTGCCCGGCAAGTGTGAGGTTGTGACTTTGATTCCTAGTACTAAAAAAAAAAAAGAAAGAAAGAAAGAAAGAAAAAGAGAAGAACAGAAAAAAAAAAAAAATCAGCCCTCATGAGCTAAATTAAACCTTTCTTCCTTTAAAAAATAAGGAAACCGGGGCCAGGGATTTAGCTCAGTGGTACAGCACCTATATGGCAAGCACGAGATCACGAGTTTGATTCTTCATACCAAAATTAAAAATGTTAAAAAATAAATAAAAAGCATAATCAGCCTTAACAAAGACTCAGTTGTCCCAGGCCCTCTTTTGCCCCCTCCACAATTCCTGCTGTCAGGCAGCAGCCTATCCTCCTCGGCTGGTCAGCTTTCTGTATTAGAGGTTCTTTATTTTGTCATCCTATAACCTGCCTCCAAGTAGTTGTACTTACTGGACGATTGTTGCTCTGTAAAGACAGTCACAAGAGATGCACCTCGCTTTCTAAACATAGCACATGACTTTCCTCTTCACTTTTCCACCTATTTCTCTTCTGTCCACTCTGTTCTAATAAAATCATTCCAAGAGAACCACTCCATTCACACTGGCAGAGACAGAGATGTTGCCTGGCCTCAGCCATACATGGAAGTTCCTATTAACATGCAGGAAGTTGCCCCTGTTGAACCTACTCCGACATTATGCATTATTCCATAAGACTGTTCACTGATTTAAAGTTTAGAAGACAGGACTAGAAGACAGTGTTTACCTGTGTTTGAGCGTCTTCTAATACCAAAGTCCCAACTTGAGGTAATATCGACTGACTGGGCATACACATAGCCCTGAGTCTCACCATTGCTTCCCTGAATTTCTGACCCACTGTCTCCAGGCATTGAAGGAGGATGAATCTTCTCTAGGTCAACATCATGATCAATGAGAACCATCTCACACATTCCTGTGTCATCACTGGTCACATGTGACTGTCGAATATGAGCTAGAATGATAGTTGGATTGTCCAAGAAGGCCATCCTTTCGTGGGCCAATTTCCTTAAAAGGCTATTTTCTCCTCTTCATATTGTTTCACAGGCTCACCTACCTAGAAACATGATGTACATAGCAACGTTTAAGAATAAGGCACACAATGACTGAAGCATTCTTCAAACAAATTCAGTGTGGTAAAATGCTACCTTGAAAATCAACATATATTCTTATACCTAGGAGCTTAAAAAGATTAAGTCAAAGCTAAAAGGAAATCCTATAAGCACATAAGCACATTGGCTGTAGTCAATGAAGTCTCCATGGTATCAGAGAGAAGACCTGTTCTCTTGCAAAAACAATTAACAGTAACTCCTTAGTCAGGTCACTCAAAGCACAGAAATGTTGTTAATAAATTTTCCTTCCTTTCTACCTTTACTCCCATACAGTCTTCTCATTATTTTATAAGGTTGTAGGGGAATGAGTTGCATTTTCCTCAAATTATGTGCTAAAGTACAAAAGTACACTTCATCGGTTTACATTTTCCTTCCTGCCCTATGATTGTGAAGTATTTAAAAGGGTACAACACTTTCTGAGGGATTTTACAAAAGTGTACACTGAAGTAATTTTGTCCAATAAACATATTTCCCTTTCTTCAATTTAAGATAATATTTTGCTTTTCAAATAAAACATTAATCAAAGTTACCCTGCTACAGAATTAATTTCTTATTTCAGAAACCTAATTATAAGAGCTGCTTCCTTGATCCTGATAAAACTGTAAGGATATTTATTCTAGGAATATGATGATACTTCCTCAGTTAAATGGGAATATTCAACAAAGAAAACACTACAGAACAATGGTTAGGAAAAAACAAAATTAGAGGCTAATATCAAAGGTTAAAATAATAATAACAACAACAGTGGTTAGGAACTAGGCCCTTGAATCAGATTCTACTCTGGCCCTGTCACTCGCTAGCTGTGCAACTGTGCTCAAAACACAGAATTTTTTTAGCTTCTCTTCATGTTCTTCATTTATAAATAGAGGTTCCATGGATAACAGGATATATAGGTGATATGGCAAGTGTTCAAAAAACTAGCACGTGAGTAAATAAATATTGGTTGCTATTAATAAGCATGATGACGGTAAAAAATGTCACTGGTTTCAGTTTTGAATCCCTGTGTAAAATATTCACAAAACCTATCAATACATTATCCTTCTTTGGTAAGTGGGTGGCAGACAAATAAATCCGTGGTTCCTTTGTGACCGAGGATATTGTAGGTCTTCTGGGCCACCTCCTTCTTTCCCCAAATCATTCAGAAGTACAAGGAATGTGAAAGCTTGAATGAATATGTTCCCGGGGACAGTCCTAGAAGAGTTTTATTTTTAGAACTATCTGTAACTGCCAACCATGGTTGTGCTGAGGCAACTTCAGGTCCAGCCTGGGCCATTCAGGTGACTTCGGGACACCCTCTAGCTAAATTAAACCACCAAAAAGGGCAAAGGACCTCAGTTTAGTTCCTGGTGCTGCAAAACCAAAGCAAAAAAAGTATAACTGAGGCTGGGAATGGAGTTGGGCGGGCAAGGCACTTGCCTGGCACATCCCTGTTTACTGACAAAAAAAGAAAAAAACAGTAACACCAGGTTTTGCCATTCATTTCTTCTTCAGATGGGACATAAGGGAATATCTAGTTAAAAACCATTACAGGTAACTGAAGTTTTTAAAACTTTGGGATAGCAACACATCATTCTACTAACACCTAATGATACAAGACTTTGAAATTAAAAGGAAGTTTAACTGAGGAGAACAACTAGTCAAGTAATAACACTAATACTCACTTTTTTCCTTTATAGTATATTGACTAGTTATTTTACACTGCAGCCAATGGGAAATGCAAACATGAATAAGGCATCCTTGAATAAAAAATGTATACTTGCATATTGACCTTTTATATCCTCTAATACCATGGGGTTAAGTGTCAACTTCCTCGGTTATTTAGTTTCAGATACATGAGTTTATTAGTTTAGATATATCCCTCAGAAAATTACAAAATTAAAGAGGAGCATTTAAGTTGCACTTGTAAAAATAATTTTTTCTATAACCACAAAGAAATATACACACCCGCCGGATTACCTATAAATGAAGCACTTGTCACAGAATCACAAGATCACAGACTGCCAGAGCCGCGAACATCCTTAGAGAGCAATCACAGGAAGCATCTTCTGCCAGGAAAGAAAGGCTGGCAAGGGGCTGCTGGTAGAGGGGAAGCAAGTCCACCTTCAGGTTGAATCATTCTTTCCAGGCAACACACACACACACACACACACACACACACACGCACACACACAAGGACTGCAGTAAGAAGCCACATATCTAATGGGTGTTTTGCCACCAAAAAGTCAAAGGGCAAAGTGAAAGCACCTTCAAGAACATCTTTTTCAGCAAAATGAATCAGCTCCATTACAGTGTATGAAGGAAAGAGGAAAGGCGCACACCAACTATCCAACATAATGCTTCTAGAATAGAGGCCTCAAAACACTCCAGCATCAGCGGCATAAGCGCCTGCCTTGCAAGCAGGCAGTTGTGGGTTCGATCCCCGGTACTAATAAAAAGGAAAAAGACAAAAAAAAAAAAAAAAAAAAACACTGTGAGTGAGCTGGGGATGTAGCTCAGCAGTAGATAGCCCTTGCCTGTCACGTATGTAGTAAGGCCCTGGATTTAATTCTCAACACTCAAATGCACAAACCGACAAAAAACACTATGACTTCACACATTCAGGAATATGTGTAAGTCACTCAACAAACATTTAGCCAATACCAGTTCCCACAGGACCACCGTGGGAAATGTGTTACTGTACAAGTCACTTTCCACCTCCTACTACATGTTCTTGAACACTTAGACTACTAAGTTTCCCAAAGATCACAGCCATAATGGGACAGCCCTTTGGGCAAACAGGATGGTACACATAGTAGGAATGCAATACACGTTGCTGTCCCATTTCTAGTGACTATCCAGTTTGTCGTACTCGTACATGAGCATGTCAGGTATAAGTAAGATTATAAAGAAAGGGTCACCTTTTTACTAACACCAATACAAAAGCTACTCTCCAATATGTCCTTCAAGATGGCCACCTGCGGACACTATCAACATATTCCAACAATGCTGCTTTTCAGAAACACAGAGATAGCTTTAAAATCTGCTTAGAAGTACCTAAGCGCCATTTGAGGATATACTTGATTTCTAAGGCTAAAACATTCATAATATAGATAAAATCAACTCATTCTCTCTTTCCAGTGGTGCAAAGAACAAAATGATTTTTAGAAGATTAATACTGGCAGGGGTTCAGAGAAATGGGCACTGCCATGGGAGGAATGAAAATTGGCACTTTTTTGAGAATAATTTGATAGTATTTACCAAAATGTATGATACAAAACCCTCTTCTGAGATTTGCTTAAGGAGCTAACTGCAAAAATGTTTACCTCAGACTTGTAATATTTAGTAACATGAAAGTAACCTAAATATCCCTCACTCGTATATGCGGCATGACACACACATATGAAAGAATGCTATGAGCAACTAGAAACACATAGTGCAGGCAGATAAACAAAAGGAGGTATACAGCATAGCACAGAATACTACTCAGCCCTAAAAGATACAGGCAACTCTGACATGGCTCCCCAAGGACCCCACGCTAAGTATGCCAGTAGCAAAAGAAAGGTACTTGTATGGGGCCCGCTATTAATCAAATTCAGAGATGGAAAGCAGAATGAGGATGCTAGGAGGATGAGGAGAAAGGGACTGGGAGGTTTTTAATGACTCAGTTTCAGTCTGGGAAGATGGAAAAGTTCTAAAGATGGATGGTGGTGGCAGCTGAAAACCATGAATGCACTTGTGCTGCTGAGCTGTACATTTAAAAATAATTACAGTGGTAAATTTTATGTTAGCTGCATTTCCTCGTAACTTTCTTTTTTTTTTATCGGTATCAGGGATCGAACTCACAACCGCCTGCTTGCAAGGCAGGTGCTTATGCCGCTGAGCTAAACCCCCAGCCCCATAACTTTCAATTTTTAAAAAACCTAGGGATTGGGGTTGGGGATTTAGCTCAGCGGCATAAACGCCTGCCTTGAAAGTAAGTGTGCAGTCTTGAGTTTGATCCCTGGCACCGATAAAAACAAAAGAGACAAAAAAAAAAAAAAAAAAAAAAAAACCAACCTAGGTATTATTAACCAATATTAAACAAGCTTTCTTCTTACTTTTAATGAGGGCCTCAAACTATTCATGTATATGATGAATATCCACAAACGGGGAATCTACTAACACAACATAACTCAAATTTATTTGATCCCTAAATACTTTTTTTTTTCCTCAAGAAACAATAAACGTATCAATATTTCAAAGTGCATAGTGCGGTGGATTGATACGGGTGATCAACTTGTAATATGAGCTGAACTGAATCGGCGTGGCCTTGAGAGTGCAAGGCCCATCTGAGGATGATTACAAAGATAAAAAACAAGACCTACAGAGGAAGAGTTATTTAGAGCTGTTGGTTCTCCTGAACGAGCCTCTCATGCTGGCTTCCCTGATATGAACTCAGCAGTTATCATCAGAGGACCTTGTCGCTGAGAGTGGCTGCGGTTCACTTTGGTGGAGCTCTGGTCCTCACTTTGAGCATTACTTCCTGGTTCTGCAGGGGGGGATGGTGTGGTACTGGATCTCCAGGAGAAGCTTATCACACTGGCTTACCTGATAGGAACTCAGCTGTTCTCAATGTCAGAGGCGCTCCGGACCTTGTTGCTGAGAATGGCTGTGGTACTTTTCAGGGGAGCCCTGGTTCTTATTTTGAGCACTGCTTCTTGGTGCCAATGCAGAACCCTCAACCTGCTGGCACAAATCCTTTATCCTACTGGCACAGACTGTCTATTCCACCACTGACCTCTGTTCCTTCTCAGTGCAGATCCGTGAAACAGACTTGTGTGAGTCATTGCTGTGGGCTCTAGGCCTCCAGCTAGACTCATAGGAGCCACTGTCATGGGTTCTAGGTCTTCAGCTGAACTCATGCAGGATACTGCCATGGGATCCAGGCCGATGGCTGGATTCTCTAGGTTTTTAGTAGGTGGACAGA